AGAAGAGACTTTACAAATAAAATAATTAAACAGAGTGTTGAAGTTGGTGAGCTGGCAGGCAGGCTTCATGGTGGACAGCTGAGAGTGAAGTAGAAAAACATTAAATAAAGTAAACTCAGCATATTCTTAGTCCGGGGAACTCCAAGCATCTACTAAGGATAGTCATATCTGAATTAATAAATTCAGTTTAAGAAGTCTTCTTATCCGTGAAATGAAGACTGAGAGTCATAATACATCGGTTTAAAAAAAGTCATTAAATCAGAAAATTGTAAAAAATGATACATGTGTATTTCAAACATTTTACTTTAACTTAAACCAGATACATGCACATTTATCGCCCCCTCTTTTGGTAGAGAGCCCAGGCCTTCTCTTGATCTTTGGCTCCGCTGGTTGGAATTCATTGTCCTTTTGGCATAAGCCGTACTCGTAATGCACTGTCTAGGACTTCCCATTTCAGTTTCTTAGAACAAGGACTTACACTGCTGAGTAATCAGAATGCAGAATCCCTCTAGAGTTTTACTGTTTTTCTCATGATCTTTAATATCCCATTTGACAGTAAAAAATTACTCACCTTTATGAAGTCTTTCTAAAGCATTCAACTTGATTTTCTTAAAATCAATTAATAATTTTAAGAGTTCGTGTTTCATTTAGCACTTGCACTTGGTCAGTTTGCACCTTGTTTAGGTTATGTGGTTATTATAACAAGTATGTTGGACCTAGAAGGTTGGCTGTGGTAGGAGGAGGCCTTGGCTGTGGACATCAGGCCCTGTGGGCCTAGCCTTGAGTATTTGCAGTCCTTCATTTCTGCTTCTTGAATGGTGTCTGAGGGCCTGCTGTTGAGACCTTTGTATTAAGTAAGTGGGGGCATCTTCCTCCTATCTCTACGCCTGTCTTCCAGGCCCAGGAGGACACTTTGAATTCATTCACCAAGAATCCCAGCTGCAGGAGGTGTTGCAAAATTCTCCCCATGGGGGGCTGGCCCCGTGGCCGAGTGGTTAAGTCCGTGCGCTCCGCTGCAGGCAGCCCAGTGTTTCGTTGGTTCGAATCCTGGGCACGGACATGGCACTGCTCATCAAACCACGCTGAGGCAGCATCCCACATGCTACAACTAGAAGGACCCACAACGAAGAATATACAACTATGTACTGGGGGACTTTGGGGAGAAAAAGGAAAAAATAAAAAATCTTTAAAAAAAAAAAATTCTCCCCATAGGACTCAAAATAAATTTAAATTCCCTTTACTGAATTAACTCCCCTTAGTGAAGGAATTTTAGATCAAGGTCCAATAATTAAAAAACTGTTTTAAGTCAGCAAGTTAGAATTAAATCTGAAGCCATTGATAATGATGTTTCATTCATGGCCCTCCCTTTGGTCCTGTCTGTTCCACTGCTAAATCAGGCATCAAAGTGAGAAGGAACATAAATTATCTCTGGTCCCAGCTGCTAGTTTTCCTTCCAGCCTATGGCCCAGTCTTCTGGTTTCCTGGGAAGGCTGGGTGATGCTCTCTCGGGACCTAGTCCGCAGTTGTACAACACACTTTCATCCTCGTGTCCTCCTCCCCAGGACACCAAGGGTATTAGAAGACCCCTGGGTCCATAATTGCCTGTCATGTGATCTACAGCCAACACAGAAGGCCAAGAAAGAAGTGCTAAGAAGGACCGATTTGTGGACAGCTCCTCCCCCTGAATTAGAACCAGTGGTCTAAACTGCGTGTCAACAGCTCTGTCCTGGATCAAAGCCAGTTCTGCCATTGATTTACAGCTCGTTTCAGAGGTGCTTATTTCTAGTTGTTCTTAATTGGATGGTGGCACCGAACCATTGTCTTACTTCGCTCCCCCTCCCATGGCCTGCCCCTCAAAAAGGGGTGCTTAGTGGATAATTAATAATCTAAAGCCAAATCCTCAAATGCCCAAGGGAGGGTTACAATCTAAAGAACCTCCTTGGTTTAAAATAATGTACATATAATGTTATATGTAATATATATTTATATAAACATAAAATATATTTAAATGTGAATACTCATTACCTTGTTGGTTGTATGTCTAGATTTTTCACATTGGATTTGCTGAAAACCTAAACAGCTTTCAACTTTCGTATTGATAATATATCATCAGAATTTAAATCAACGTATGTTAATAAGCCGAGCAAAGGTTGTACATACGGATGGAATAGTTGCCTATAAACGTGCTAATTGGGGTATGGTAATAATTGTGGTGTAGATTCGTACGAACTTGTCCCTTTCAAAGCTGCCCATGGCCAAGAATCTCCAGGAATCTCGAAGAGTCACTCGCCCTCCTGCCATCCATCTTCTGTCTTGTCTTCTCCCTCAGGACAGGGACATTCTATGCTGGCCCTAACCCGCGGTACAGCGCTTCAGCTTCTGCCTCTGCTGTCACCATGAGGCAGCTTAGAAATGAAGGATTTCGCAGAACATCCCTAAATCCGCTCGAATAATGGAGTGATCATTCACAGACTCACCTGAACCTTCTTTAAACCTGTTTAATCTTTTCCCCGGGGTTAATCCCGTGGGGATACCATACCTCCTGGGCGTCTTTCCTCTGGGTTCAGTTCTTCCTTCTTTGGTTCTGAACTCCTCCCTGCTTGGCATCACAGCAGTGATGGCTATGCTCTGTTCCCTGCAGAGTGTTAATAAAAACTGAATTAATTGAAATAAATCCCTTTCAATGTCACTAAAGTGCTATAGATAATTGTGAACCAGTGTTTGATGTTTGATGGGAAATGCAGGATAAACAATTTTTTTAACTGATAGGATTCATGTCATAAATTGCCAATCTGGGCCAAATTAGAAAAAAAAAATCTTTAAAAAAGATCTCCGTATCATTTATTGCTGACAAGACTGAATTCCAGAAGGTAGCCACCCCAATTTTGTGGGCCTCTGTCATCACCTGCTGCTTGGGCTTACCAAGCCCTGAATTTAATTGCAACCTTCCTGTTTACCAACTGAGAGACCTGTGGCAAAGACTAAGACTTCCCATACCTCCATTTTTCCATCTGTCAAATGAGGATCATGTGCTCTCCCTTCTCAGAGTAGAGAATAGCTCGTCTCTCTTCTCACTGAGTAGTCACAGAACAGAAATAAAACAATGTATGGGAATTCCTGGAGCTTCTCAGGAGATGAGTGTCACAGGGAGGCAGGACACCTCTCGGGAGGCGCAGTCAGGTGCCCGGTCTGAAGTCTCTCGAGCTGAGTGGAGCCTGCCGCCTGAAATAGTCGGCTGCCTGCCGCCACCTCGCTCCCTTAGAGCCAGCCAGACAGTGCAGGCTGGTTCCCAGGGGTGAACACCTGCCGGGATGGGTGGACACATGGCCACAGTCCAGCCTGTCCTGTCTTGTCTGTCCCTTCTTTGGAGCAGAGGCCTAAAGCCAGGGTGTAGGACAGTGCGGGGGTGGGGGGCCTTTAGCGTAACCTCAAGTGATATCTTGCCCGTGCATGTGCCAGCGTCTCCGGAGAGGGGCTGGGACTTGCCTGGCTTCTGTCGTGACCCTTGGATGGAACTTCCTGGGAGCCTTTCTGTTTCCTTGGGGTCTCAGTTTCCTCCTAATCAGACGGGGATTTGGTGCAGAATCACATTCTCATCTTGCCCAGCGGCAGCCTCTTCCCACCACTCACGTTTAGCGGTGTATTGGGAATTGATTAAGGCCAGAGTGATTAAATTAAAGGCTGGAGTTGGCTTTGATGGTATAATATTCTGATGGCTCTTCGGTGGTGAGAGTCTCATTAACTGAACCACTTGCACTTGGAATTTGAGTTGAGCTGGAGCTGGGCTACTGTCTCTCGACCTTTGCCCTGGGAATGGAGGGTGTCTCATGGGCCTGGGTGGTGGGAAGTGTTTCAGGGCATGTGTGTCGCCCCACCCTGACGACAGCCCAACCGCTTGACGACCCTGGGGCTGACCTTGAGCGCTGAGTGTCAAGTGGCCCCACATCTTCAACCCTTGCTTACCCTGCTCTCTCTAAAGACGCCCTCATTATACCCTGTTCCCCTCCACTTTGGTCACTGGAACCAGCCATCTTCCAGTCCCCACGTGGCAGACCTTGAAGTCTTCAACTCTTCTTCCTCCACATCCTGGAACAGAGCTAACCATCAGTTTCTTCCTCCCAGAATCGCCTGGATTTGCCCCCCTTCCCAGGCCCGTGCTCACCAGTGCTAAAAGGAGGTTAGGCCTTATCACCTCGCCCTTGGATCATTATATGGGAACAATAATAAAGCATTCCCAATTTCAGTTCCAAAATTCACATCCAACCCATTTTTCAGACAATTGCCAAATTCTTCCTCCCAGAGCAGCCTTGTCATCTGCTCTGGCCTTGTCTAAGCACAAGTCCGTGACTGGGTTCTCTGTCCCTTGCTAAGCCAAACCCCACCTGGCACTGCCTGCCCAGGTCCCCATACCTCTGCCTCCCTGTCCAGTCCCACTGCTGGCCAGCCTGTCTCCTCGGTCCTTAATAGACATCATGCTCTCTCTGCCGCTTGCTCACCCATGGTACCCTCTCCCAGCCTCCCCGTTTCAGTCACCCTGACCTCCCCCAGTCTCTGTCCTCCCTGAAGCCTTCCCTGGCTTTTGTGCTCAGGAAGAGCTGGCAGCCTCTGCACTGTTCATCTCTCCCCAGTCACCAGCACTGCACGGGTTAACGTGTAATTGTTTCCCTCTTGCCTTGCTGTGTGTGCAGGTCTCATCTCCCTGTGGGCTGTACCTCCTCTGAGTGCAAGGCTTGTCTCTTATATGGCTTTCCTGCTCCCTTGGGTGTCTTGCCTGGTCACAGAGCAGGGCACATACGTAGCTCAAAATAATTACTCTTGAGGGGCTGGCCCCGTGGCCGAGTGGTTAAGTTCGCGCGCTCCGCTGCAGGCGGCCCAGTGTTTCGTTGGTTCGAATCCTGGGCGCGGACATGGCACTGCTCATCAAACCACGCTGAGGCAGCGTCCCACATACCACAACTAGAAAGACTCACAACGAAGAATATACAACTATGTACTGGGGAGCTTGGGGGAGAAAGAGGAAAAAAAATAAAAAATAAAATCTTTAAAAAAAAAATAATAATTACTCTTGATTCATGCAGTTGGATGCTAATAAATCAAACAGGCTGACATCAGATGAGTTTTACCTGTTTAAATAATATAAGTTCTCTACTTACTAGTACACGGTTCTGTTGCTCCATATACTTGAAAATAAAAATCACATTTCCTTTAAGATATTCTATAATTGTTGCTTTGCCCTACTTCAGACCAACTTAACACACTCCCTGTTGGTCTAGATTGATTTTACTGTGTGAAGAGGCTGATAATAATGGAAGTAGCAGGTTGCATTTATTTTACTAAAAACATTGCCTCATTTAACCCTCACTCCCCCGCCAGGTAGGGATTATCATCCTCATTTTGCAGAGGAGCAAACTGAGGCCCCGAGATTTCACAGCTGGGGAGGGGGCCGGAGCGTGCTTTCCCTGCCCCCTGTGCCTTCCTGCCTCTGCGCCCGCTGCGCCTCCACTCTGGTTCCACCATCCAGGCCAACAGACATGTCTTTAGTACTAATGACCGGAGAAGCTGTGCCCTCAGCTCCTATGAATGGATCGTGGGTAACATGAGCCTGGAGAAAGTATGTTAAACCGAAAGCTAGCCGCTAAACTGGGCTCCTGCTTCATGTCGCCGGTGACGGCAGAACCAAATTTAGCGTCCTGGGCAGGTCCACGCTTATCAGGTAGAGAAGCTCATTTTATTTCCAGCTCATACAAAGCATGAAAAACGTTCTCACCCACCGCACTTCCATGGAGGGTATGTGTGACCGATGGCTGGAAATTGTGGCCAAGAGGAGCCCAGTGTGTGAACTCAGGGAAGATGATGTTCAGGTTCCCAGGCAGTGTCTACGGGAAGAAATGGAATTCAGAAGGGTGGGTTCCCTGAGCAAGGCAGGCAAGCAAGCCCCTGCTGTTAGGGAAAAGGGTCACAGTGTGGGGGGTCAGCCTGCGTCCCCCAGCCTCCTGCGGTACTGCCCATCCCCTTTACTCAACAATCCACTTTACTTCCCCCATGTCTACAGCACTGTGGCCCGCACTCCAGGAGCAGAAGCACGGGGAGTGATGGGGAGCCGAGAAGCGAGGGGCTCACACAGATGAGGCTGGGGTTATGCATACTGCATTACTAGAATCTGCAGCCTCACTGGGCTCTCTTATGGTATTGAAATACGTTTCCCACAGCCACTCTTCCATCTAACTAAAACAAGAGTCAGTTCTCAGTTCTCTTCTTGCCTCTCACCTTCTCCCCCAACCTTTTTTAAAAACCCACCGGCTATAAAGCCTGGATACCGTATATAAGAGCCCGCCCAAGAGTCTGTTTTGTTGGATTTGGGGTGCTGGGTGGGCAGGGATCATTTCAGTCTATAAATTGTATTTAGGGTGAGTAGTTCTTCAAGAAAATTCTTAAAAGCACCCCAACCTGACGGAACTGGAGGAACATTGTTGGTCTCGGCACTGAACACAGGCCTGCTGAGCTCCCGTGGATCCAGGCGTGAGCTGCGGGGTGTGCACACAGCCCTGGATGCAACTGAGGACCATAAGGATGCTGGGCAGGGGCAACTCTCTCAGTCGCCCAGTGGACAGCCCAGGGCATGCTGGCCGCATCTGTGCCCCCGGGCGCAGGGACCTCATCGTCAAGGGCTATGGCCACACAATGGACACCGGATCCCACATCACTGGGTCTCCACTACTGAGTCTCCTGGGATTGCCACCCTCTGGTGGAACAAACTCTGTCCCCAGTGGGCCCAAAGTTTACAAAGAACGCTTGGGACAGCCTGGCTTTCTGGATACATTAATATTGTTCTAATTTGGACTAATTAGGGAATGGTCAGTCTCAATTAAAAATCTGAGCTACTTTAATGCTCTTATTTGGACATCAGCCTCTAGGTGTTTGGGAGAGGGGAGTGGCATGGGAGCACTTTAAACACAGGCACGGGGGTGGCCCCACATTCGGGTAGCTACATGGGGTGATCTCAGGATGCTGCGAGATCTCCTCATTCCCCAAATTACTAACAAGCAGGTAGTACTTTACTGTTGACGTTATCTCCTTTAATTCTTGACACGAACCTGTGAGTTAAGAACAGATTAGGAAACTGAGGTTCAGGGAGGTTACGTGATGCCTGAAACCACATGGCTAGTCTGAGGCCGACAGGGGATTCGAACAGGCGACAACTTCTGCTTCTCAAGCCTGGGCTGCTGCTCTCCAGGGCAAGCTTCACCTGGCTTTTCCATTCATTAGCCTGAGGGGTCCTGCTGTTTGTTAAACTGCCAGTGCCTGGGCAAGGGGGAAACAGGAGACGCTGCTCTCTTTCTCCCAAGGACAAAGGAAAAAGTTTTGGATTTTTTTTTTTTTTTTTTTTTTTGATAGGGCAGAGACCTGGAATTTCTACCTTGAGGTCTTATACCTTACGATACATAAATGAACAGATTCCTTTTTCCTCTTAAAAAAACCCTCTTCAGCATAAGATGTATTTGGGGGAGAGGACATAATTTGTGTGCATTCCCTGTGCCCTAGGAATGGGGAGCAGGAGGCAGCCACAGGTGAAGGGAGAGATGACTGAGTCAGGCAGCCCTGCTCTGGGCTGAACCGGTGGGCTTGCCCTGCCAGGTCTCCCAGGAGGTGGAGGCCCCAGAGTGTGACTGCTGGGGCCAGAGGACTTGTCTCCCCATCACCCCCATTTCCAGGGATCCAGAAGACCTGGAAAAAGGAAAAATCTCCATCATGTTAAGGCAGACCTGGCTAAGTAACACATTTTGTAATGCAAGTTACTTTTTCCGTAACTATAGGCTAAAAATGGTTGCTAGAATTTAAAGATAATTAGTGAATTAGTTGGGTTTCTCTCTATACCACTAGTCTCTAAGCAAATTGATTAAAATTTTCTGCTTTTACCTTAGTAGCACCCATTATTTTGTGTTTAATTTCCACAACTTTATCTGATTCCACTATTTGGGGCTTCCCCAGGGAACCACGCTCCCTAAAGCATCCATCTGTTGGGCGATGTTTTATTCATCTTTGTATCCTTAATGCCTGGCACGGCACATGGCACATTCTGTAATTGTTTAGTGACTGAATAAATGGGTAAGTGAATTCAACACTGATTAAAACTTAACGCCTTTCTTAAAGAGAGTTGAGAACAGAAAGGGGAACAGGTACGTAACTTGTATGTTTGTTCATCCTTCTCCTTTCCTGGAGGGTGGAGGGGTACAGGTCTGCATTTGGAGTTTCCAGTGCCAAAAATGGAAATGCATGCACTATTTGTCATAACCTTTTAAAAAGTTAAATCTTCAGATCAATCCAAACCTTTAGATTCTCCTGAAAACTGGAATGCCACTGTATATCATGAGCCCCACTTCAGAGACAACAGATTTTGATGATGAGACTTGAGTCTCTGGCCTGGTCCCCATGCACATACCAGGAAGGGTGGTGAGCAGCTGAAGACACACCGTTTCAGTCCCTGCCATCTCAAGAGGCTCAGGCTCAGGCAGTGCTGTCAGAATTAGCAAAGTAAAACAGAGGATGCCTAGTTAAATTTGGATTTCAGATGAACAATAAATTTTTTTTTAGTATAAGTATGGTAGTCAATATAATGTCCCCCAAAGATACCAGCTCCTAATGCCCAGAACCTGTGAATGTGACTTTATGCAGAAAAACGGTCTTTGCAGATGGGATTAAATTAAGGATCTTGGGATGAGATTGGCCTGATTTATCTGAGCAGATCCTAGATGCAGTCGCATGTATCTTTAGAAGAGCAAGGCAGAGAGATCAAAAACATGGCAGAGAAGACGACGTAATGATGGAGGCAGACATTGCAGTGATGTGGATGCCAACAACCACCAGAAGCTGGAAGGGGCAAGCAAAGGATTTTTTCCTAGAGCTTCCAGAGGAAGCACGGCCCTGCCAACACCTTGATTTTGGCCCAGTAATACTGATTTTGGATTTTTGACCTCCAGAGCTATGAGAGAATAAATATCTGTTGTTTTAAGCAACTCAGTTTGTGGTAATTTGTCACAGCAGCCACAGGAAACTGATAAGTATGTTTCAGGCAATCTTTGGGACATACGCTAAAAAATTATTTGTTGTTTATCTGAAATTCAAATTTAACTGAGCGTCCTGTATTTTATCTGGCAACCCTAATTTCTAGGGCTAAAGAAAGGGACTTTTGAAATTTGCAAGAAAACTGGTTGAGGCTGTCCGAAAGTGGACTTCCTTATGCTAGGAGTCTTTGTAAGCACAGTTCAACTGAACCGATTTGAACTTTACTAACTACCCTCCGGACAAAAGAGGGGGCAATTAGACAGGTGTTAATGATTTATTCTTTCAGCAGACATTTGAGCATGTCCTATAAAACAGAAGCTCAGTATAAGGGTGCAGGAGTTAGCTATTAATCGCATATATCTAGGCGAGGTTACAAACCATTCCAGATAAATCACGTGAAATAGTGCCATTAACAGAGCTCGAAGGATTCTGCAGTGCATTTCTGATACCTGAGCTGCCCCTGGGAATCTTGTACCCTCTCACTGCAGGGTGGTGGGGCCCAGCAGGACAGCTGGGTAACTCCTGGTTGCTGAAGGAAAGGACTTTACAGCAGATCTGAAAGGGAGCTGCGGGCGGAAGATGTTGCAGGAACAAGCTGGCTCTGGAGGAGCCAGGAGGAGCTTTCCATGGAAGCAGATGCAAAATGTCTTCATCATTTCCTGTCGCATCGTGCTCTAAGATGAGTGGGACAAGGGGCAAATGTTACAGACAGACATGGCGTACTCTCCCATGCAAAGAGGGCTGCCCCTCGTCGTGTGCCGGGACATCAGTCTTGTAGGCTCGGGCTCCACGCAGGGCTGCGTTGCCACTTTCGTTGCTGTGTTGCTGAGGGTTTCTATCGTTGGGCTCTCTGCAACCTGAACATCCCTGGACCCTCGGGCTTTTAATGATGGTCTCAGAATCCACAGTGTTAGAGCTTTAAGTGACCTTGGGTCATCCAGAACAGACAAGGGGTCCTAGGACACACCAGAACTGCCCCCAGATGCTTTACCAAAATATCCATGCCTGGGAAAGAGAAAACAGGTAGTTTACAGGAAAAAAAAAAAAAGAAAAACTAGGGGTGGGGGCCTAAACATGAAAAGATGCTTGACATCACCCATAATAAAAAGACTGCTGAGAAAACCACAGCGAGATGCCACTGTTCATGGATCAGATGGCAGGGATCCAGGGGGGTGGTAACCCACGCCGGCTGGGCTGCGCTCCCAGTGGGAATGGAAAACCACCAACTCTGCAGAGAAATGTGGCCCGTAAATCAAATGCCCTTTGGCAGAGCATTGCTGCTTCTGAGAATTTACCCCTTTCTATATGAGCAAAGGCATATATATGGGATTCACTGGGGAATTGTCTGTTATGCAAAAGTCTAGAAATAATTGGTATGGAACTGGTTAAATATAGTGTGGCCCCAAATCAATGCAGTGGGTCCAGACGACTGCTGTGGTTGTTCCCTCAGATGCCTTGTTAAGTGAGGAACAAGGTGCGTATCGTGTGTTCCCACTTGTGTGACCGGAGGGAGAGTGCGTGTGAATGAGTGCGCATATATGGAGCCTGACTCTGGAAGGAAAGATGAGAATCAGGTTTTGATGGTGGCCTCTGGGGGGAGAAATTGGGGGTGGGGCAGGAGACTTCTTCACTCTACTCATTTCTGCTATTAGTTTTTTTTGCCATGTGCATATATTACCTTTACTTTTTTTTTTTTAAGATAAATTCATATGTAGGCTCAGGCCCTAGCATACTTCAAAAGGATAAAAGTATCCGGCAGAACGTTCTTTCAAAGGCTTTCCAGGTGATGCAGGCGTGCATGACACCCCGTGATAGAGGAGCTCACATTTGGCCTCGCCCTCTCATTGCACGGAGGGGACTGAGGCTCTTTTACCACGCCTTTGTGGGCGAGCCTGGGTACTTCGCTGCCTTAGACAGAGGAACCTTCCAGATGAGCTGTAGGAGTAGAACTTAGCAGGGGCACACACAGCATGTGTGTGAAGCGTATATAAAGTGTAATTGAACAGAGGGCACCTTTCGGAGTCCCTTGGAAGCAGAGGTGGCTGGGGGAGGGGGACAAGGGGAGGCCAGCTACTGTGTTAACTGTCTGATCCTTGTCGTGGTTTATGACAACCCAGACTAGCCCCATGAGCCACCCTGGTCCCCACAGTGCCTGGTAACCTGCATTCCAAGTGAGAACCCCTTGGGCGCGTTTCCCTGTGGCCAGGCTGGGCAATGCAGCACTTTATGATTTTAATACCTAATCCTTTTATGTCAAAAACAACCTCAACACTATTTTTTCTCTTAGTCCTTTCACACAAATGACCTCGTTTCATCCTCCCAGCCACTCCAAGCTCAGTGCACTTCCTGTCCGGAAGGGGAAGAAATGGAAGCTTTGGTTCTAGGTTCTTCCATGCTAGAACTTGGGCCCCTCAGCGGTGGGGACTCGGCGTGACCCTCTCTGGTCTGAGCCCTGCCTTGGGGCAGGGGAACCGCTGCCTGTCTCTTCTGGAGCAACCACTCCTGCTCCACAGGCCTTCCAGGGTTCCCCCAGAATCCCCCACGTTGCCTGAAGCATGAGAGCACAGCCCCGAGACCCTGCTCTTCAGGGGCACTCCCACACCCAGAGGAGCAGCAGTCCTCAGAGCCGTTCCAACCAGCCCTCCAAGGGCCTCGTTTCCGTTTTCGTTACCGTGCTGTCCCGTGGGCTCGCTCCGGAGGGGCTGATGGGCACGGCCACGGCAAGAGTGTTAGTTTCCCAACCCCAGGCCAGAGCATCTCTCACTGTTAGCTAGGTAAAGGTCACTCCGCTTGGCCTGTAGGACCCTGAACTCCCAGAACCCTGGAGGTGGAAGAACACCCCAGAGGGCCCCTGGTCCCACCTCCCACCCCTGCCCGAACCTCCTCTTCTGCCTTCCTGACAGAGTCACTCCAACTTCCCCCCATGATGGCTCCCGGCTTCATCACCATCTGGCAAGGGGACTGGAGGGGAGGAAGGGACCTCCCTTCTCCCCACACCTACCCTGCTTTGTGAGGTCACCCTGAGAACAGTCCACAGAGGTGCCAGCACAAGGCGTTAAGCACCACAAGTTTGGCATTGTAACAGATGCCCGAGCCACTTGAGAAATGAGGTGAAAGCCCAGAGAGGTGAAGTGACCTCCTCAGAGTCACACAGTGAGTTCATGGCAAAGCTGGGCTAGCACTGGTCTCTTCCTCCCTACGCAGATCTCCTCCCGTGCCCCACGTCACCTCACTCCCATGGCTGGGGCACCTGGAGGAGGACCCTCAGACCCACCTGGCCAGCAGGGCCAGTCTGTAGTGGAGGCCCGGCCAGGAGGCACCAACATTTGGGATCCCAAGAAATGAAGGTGATGCAGGCCAGTTGCTGAGAAACGTGGTCTGATTTATGGATGTGCCCCCTCAGCAGCAGCTTTCCAGAACATTCCCACTTCCTTCCATAGCGTGAAGACCTCTCCTGTGCTCTGCTTGTCTCCTCCCGGGGTCCCTCGTGTCACTGATTTTGATAAATCGTTTCACTCTGCAGAGTATGAGCTCTGCCTCGGAGGGACGGTGTCGGCCTGGACTGAGTCACCGACACTGAGGCCGAGCAGTGACCCCTCCGAGGAGCCAGGACCAGGCGCTCGCGCTGTCTTATGCCTGGTGACTAGGACTTGCCCTCAAGGAGAAAAATAAAAGCAAAAACCACAAAAAATACACCTCTCAAAGAACAGCTCTGAGTGAGGTAAGTTTCCTGTCACTAAAGCAGCCTGGCTGGAGTGTCTGCCCCTTTTGGAGGGAGAAGCGTACAGCCTGTTGGAAACGATCGCTGTTTTCCTAGAGAATGTCTGCAGTTCCTGGAGGAGGCCTGGGTGTCCCCGGCGGAATGGTCTTCCCCTCGGCGAACAGCCATTTGCTCTTCCCTTGGTACTTAAGTAACAGAAGCAGCATTTATTGCTGCAAAGTATCAGTTAGGTGAATGAGGTTTTTCCCGTCCACGGACATGAAGCCGTTCCAGTGATGGACACGCCATCCGGGAAGCAACCGCAGACCTGCCAGCCTGCTCGGCCCACTCACGTGGTGGACCCAGGAGATCCTGGAGTGGGCTGACTCTGGAGTCCTTCATTTTTCTGTCTACTCCGGCCATTTCCTTCCTCACTAGAGTGTCCTGGAGTCACTTACCTTTTCCAGAGTCAGCCCATCCCACTATTAGGCTCCTCGATGCTCATCTCTCCTGCACCTGCCTCGCCTGTTCTCAGCCACTCAAACAAGTTTCCCCAAGTATCGTTTCAATCATTTTGTCATCATCATGTTTTACTCAAGAAATGGATGAGATGCAATTTACCCACCTCTTGTTGCCATCCTGGATTGTGGATGAGATGGGGTGGAAAGGGCCCAGGCCTTGGAGGAGGGCTGACCAGGGTTGACTCTTGGCTGCCCCCTCCTCGCAGTGTGACCTTGGGTAAGTAGCTCAACCTCTCTGAGCCTGGTTCCTCATCTGAAAAATGGGAATAATAGCACTTCTCTTTCAGGGCTGCTGTAAGGAGTGGCGGTGATGTGTGTAAAGCACAGAGCACAAAGGGTGACTTGTTACTCTGCTGAACACCTGCCATGATAGCCTGTCATCACGGTCGACCTGCATGCAGCGACCCTGAAACGTGCACATGCTTTAGGACGCTCTAGAGGGTGGGCTGTGGAACTGAACGTGGGTTGTAGAGGAACTCTCATTTGCTGCTTTCTGTACTTACATTTTTTTCCAAATTCAATAGGTCCATATTTATTTTATGTGTCTGGCTAAAATTTATTATTATTATGCAAGTAATACATGAATAGAGTCTCATTATCAAAAAATTCAGGCAGCAGCATGAATTCCTTTTATAATCAGAAAAAAACCACAGATATCATTTTGAAAAAATTCATCTCATCAACTGCATTTTCCACCTCCTGGTGTTTTTGAGTCTTTGCTGCTCCCTCCGCCTGCCAGTGACACTAACACTCCAGCCCTGCCTGGGGCCACCTCCCCACCCTCGCCCTGGCCATGGGGCGCCCCCCCGGAGCGTTTCTTCCCAGATTGATTGTGTTTCCGCTTAGATCAGACTCGCCAGAACTCACTGAGAACTGGAGAAAAGTGCAGTCCCCCCGCCCGTCCTCCTCCCAGTGCACCCTCACCTCTGCCGAGGCCAGAGCTCTCATCCTGCCCCCTCACCTGCCCCTGCCTGAGGGGGACGCTGAGCTTTCCTCAGACTGGCGCAGAGAGCTCAGCCCACGGTTAGTTCCCGTGGCTGGACCCACAACCAACCTTGTGGGAAATGGTGGGTTCCTAAGCAGAGCTGGCTCTCCTTTCTTCCCCTCCCCACTTTCCCCGCTGGTGGGCTCAGGAGGAGGCAGGTGGGGCTTAAAGCTCAGAAGGGTTTAAAGGGGCTCAAGATGGGCCTGGCTGCTCAAAGTTACTTAGGTCTATCTCAGACACATGCTGTGTTACTAGGCCTTTATGGGCTAGCCTGGGCACCTGGCTATCTTAGACAGAGGAACCTTCCAGATGTAGGCAGAGAACACAGATGCCTGGAATGTTCTTCCTGGGTTCTTCGCCCCTGCAATACAAGGTGTGGTACACATGCTTTGTACAGATCCTAGGCTTCGGGCTCCTTTTTTGGGTTTGTGGGGCGTAGATTTGGCTTTCCCCCAGCCCTCTGCTCTCCTGTCACCTGTCTGGCACTGGTTGCTGCTGACCAGCTGCCTGGCAAGCTGTAGGGTGCCTGCAAAGGCCCCGTCACCTGCAGACACCTCCCAATGCCTGAGAATCCATGGACAGGCCCTCCTCAGTCGCCCCTGACCCACAGAGGAGGTATCTGAAGGCCCCAAGACACGGGGCTGGCTCTGCAGGATCCGGCTGCAAGGCCTGGGAACTAGTAGCTGAGCGGATGTATTAGCAGCTGACACGGAGCCTTCATCCGTCCCGCCTCTCATCTGCTGTTTAGCACCTGGCACACTGTGGGTACTTAATAATAATTAAATTCATAATGAACATCGAAAAGGCCAGCAGGTGGTAAATGTATGCATCTTTGCACAGTTGTTATACAGCAGGCTGAACGAGCCGTTAACAGTTAATCAGGAACAAATCTGAATGTGAGAAAAATCTGATTGCAGAGATTTTTACTCCTTCCTCCCCTCCCCAGCTTTTAAATAAAAGTTTAAGGATAGCTTCCCTTTGGTTGTCCTCGTAGTAGGATTTATAATGAAAAGAACTGGGATAAGAACCTTAACATGCCTCTCTGTTTAGATTTGGGCATAAATTTGGAGTGTGTCTCACTCGGTGAGAGCTGGTGCTGAGCAGGCCTTGGGAAGTTGTCTGGAATGGGCCGTCAACATCCCTTGCAGAAAAATTCTCTTCTCCAGACCCAGATCCGATGCCCTGCAGCCATTTTGGGGGTGTGTACTGAAGGACAAACTGAGTCAGAGCTTGCAGGCTGCTCGGCGTTCTCAGTGCCCACCCGCCAGCTCTGAGGGTGCGGGACACTGCGGCCCCTCCTGCCTTAACAGCCCATCAGGACAGCATGGCCTGGAGGGAGCCTGAGGGGTTCACGGAGGGCTTAGTTAGATGGGTGACAACAGATCACTTGTTACCCCAAGGGACAAGGCAGAGAGCCCAAAGGAGCACCATGTCACCAAATGCCCACATAGGGGTTTGTGCTGGGGAGAACCCCCAGCCAATGACAGTGTCTTGTGGGAGTGTGCGCCCAGCGTGGCCAGATCATTCCAACTTTTCAAAATAAGTCAGAAATTGTACTTTAATTAAATATCCCTATTTTCAAGTGTGGGTTATTCATTTAGAAATGTAAAAACTGTTTTATGCTCATGGGCCATTTTGTCTGGTTTAAAGTCTGACTGGAAGAATTCAAGCTGGACAACAGGAAGAACTTCCTGAGGTGGGCATTTTGAGACCTTGGGGAAAGGGGTGTGGTGTGTCTCTGGGGTATCTGGTGCCATCCTGCTGGAAGTAAGGAGCGGGGACTGGAAGATTCCCCCGGGGAGGTTCACAGCACCTAAGCCTAGGACCCTCATCAAAAGTTTTTTGACTGACGGACATGCCCCGAATCCTGTCTCTGGCTCTGCCTAACGGCTGACGCTGGAGTCTGTGGCGCTCATTCCTACGGCCTTATATTTTGCTCTTTGAGGGTTCCTTTCATCTGATGCTTATTGGTTGCCATCTTTTAACCAGGGATATTTTGCTAATTGCCCAGTGCAAGTGTCCAAATGAGTGATGCCTCCAAGTTTGAAAAGGTCCAGCCTGTCCAGCTGGGTGCTGCTACGTGCCAGGTGCCAGGCTACTTGGGAACCACTCAGTCCTGGTGCTTGAGAAGCCCAAAGCGAAGAAACAGAGGCGCGCACGCGTGCACACACACACACACACACACTGGTCTTAGAAGACGGTTTTATATTTTACCTGTGTACAGTAAAGGTATTATGTTGAGGCATCTTGATATATAAAGACTCTCTTAAAGGAGAGGACATCTAGAACAGGTGTCACCTGAAGCCTTCTGTCCAGCATTGACTGTCTTCGCTCACAACTCAGGGTTTTTCACTGAGAATGGGATGGGAACATGGTCCAGAGGTGGGGCTGACATTGGGACTGGATCCCCACCAGGAAGTTAGGTCAGGCTAGGGCAGGTCCCAGGAACTATCAGGAAACACTTCTGGGCCAGAAAGAAAGAATGGAGTTAAGTAAACTCCGTCTCAAATCCGGAAGTGCACTCAGGTCAAGCAAGATGACCAAAGAAGTCAGCAAAGGGCAAGTCAGAGAGACTGTGGCTAAACCAGCAGACGCGAATGAGACAACATGCCTGCCCTCTGAGAGCCTTTGAGAATCGGAGAACTAGACACAGTTGCAGAACAAAGGGACGCAGGGTCTGGATGAGGTTTTGGCAGAGCGCCGAGCCAGAAGCTCTCCAAACTCAGTCTGGCCACCAGCAGGTCAGCAGTGGCCCCTCCATGGCTCGTTTAGCCCGGAAGCCCCATAGGGTTTACTCCTGATTCAAGGGCACGTGTCACGCCCAGAGAAGGGCAGCTTCCATGTGGTCTGGCCGTCCCGGGCTTACGTGTGGGCAATGGGGGAACACCCGGTGCCAGCCAGCCCTCAGGCTCTTTGTGGTTCTGGGTTCCTCCTGTAAAAGGTAGCCACAGCCTTTCTCATTAGAGTCTTTCTCACCTCTGCAGCGCAGGTGACAGCTGCTCATTGTCTGAGCCAGTGTCACGCAGGCGTGGGATCTTGACCTACCCACTTTAGTCTTTAGTATGAATAATACACACTGGTAGGAACTAGAACTCAGCTCTGACCCCCAGGAGGGTTATCTGCCTTGAGACAATTTGTCCTACAGTTTCATTGGCTGTGAGGTTTCATGAACACGCTCTAGAGCCAGGTGGCCTGGGTTCGAATCTCTGAGGTGTCCTGGCTGTGTGAACTCGGGCAAGTCACTCAACCTCTCTGTGGCTGAGTTTCCTCCTCTGTAAAATTGAAATAATGATAATACCTACCTCATAGGGTTGTGAAGAGAATTAAATCATTCGGATTTGTAAAGTGCTTACAAAAGAGCTTTGCATGTAGTAAGTGCTAGCTGAGTGTTTGGGTTCTTAAGTACATTCTCTGTGGATTCCACAAGCCCTTTGTTGTGCATTTCACAACCAAGCCCTGTCTCCCTTGGAATCCAACTGTAGATCTGCTTCACACTTGTGAGACAGGCCCCGGCCAGTCCGTGTGAAGAGGAGAGAAAGCCAGCCCCAGTCCAAGATGGTGAAACCAGGACATAACCTCCTACTCGCCACCCCGTCAGGTGTTCAAAGTCTGGAACCTCCAAAGCCCATTTCCAATGCAAGTGTAGAGCCACGTGGGTTTCAAGTCACCTGTCACTCTGAAGCTCCTTTGCTCAGTTCATCATCATTAGCAGAGGTCGTGGGGAGTAGGGGGGTGCATATTGAATAGTGATGGGCTGGCTTCCCCTGCTCTACTCTTCTCTGCCTGTTCATCTATCACTTCCTCTTTGAAGGCAAACGAGACCAAAAAACAGCGCCCAAAGCAGAAGAAGGGCCCTGGAACCCCGCGACTTCACAGATCAGGGTGACTATGATGTCATGCCTGCCCTCTCTAGCCGTGTAGCCTCTGGGAACCCCTCAGCCCAACGTGTCAATTCCATCACACATGTACGCCTGTGTGTTCCCATAGCCTCCTGCAGGCCCCACTCAGCCCATCTCAGCCAATTGGGGCTACTCCTGCCCATTGGGAATTGGGGTGCAACCAGGAGTTGCTTATGAAAAATCAGCCCAGTGGAGTGACAGCAGGTCTGCTGCAAACCACTTCAAGTCTCTGGGGCCGAGAGCTGCCTTTCACCTCTGTCGCCCAGGCCCACTCTTTCATCGGTCCTGGCAGAGAAGCCGCAGTGAGAGGCCCAGCTTTTCCTTAGGTAATGTCACTGCCCTTTCCTGGGCAATGCTGGGGGCTGGCACACCTGACTCTTCCTCCCGAGTCTTCCTGGCTGCCTGGATTTGGGAGCTAGATTCAGCTGGGACTGGGGCTCTGGGAGAGGGTGTCTGTAGATGACCATCGTAAGCAGGGGTCAGAGTATCCTGAGAAAATTTGACCTTAGGAGGCATTTAGTTTTGACGCCGGTGTGCCTCTTGACACGTTTCATCCCATGATCCCTCGCTTTCTTTTCCTTCGCTCTCCTTGTCTCTTGTGTTGGACGCGTGATCAGAACGCAGAAACACATGGTGGTGGGTTTGTTTACTGTGCGGCAGCCATTTCTCCAGCGCCTGCAGCGCCCCCTCCCCTGGTTTCCCCTGTAAGAGGTGATCTGTGAAGTGCTGTCCCTTCCAGGGCCACACCTATCTCCGTCTGTGCCCCTCCGTCCCTCCCCAGTTCAGCAATAGCGTCTACTCAAGTCTGCTCCCACACAGTGCTAGTGGGAGCAAAAGTCTGGACACATTTCCAGGGAGCAGTTTAACAGGATGTATAGAGAAGCTTAAAAATGTTGCTACCCTCTGACCCAGAATTTTACTTCTAGGAATCTGTCCCAAGGGAATAATTGGAAACATGAAAAGGATGTATGCAACGAGACATCCATCAAAGTTGTTTATAATAGGAAATCTCAGAAGCAGGCCACACGTCCAATCTCTGGGAAATGGTTGTGTAGGTTAGTGTGTAGACATTCGAAAATGATGCCTATGGGATTTTAAGTGACTCGGGAAAACACTCCTGACCATAATAAAAGAGCATGGTACAAATTGTATATTCAATATAATCTTGACTGTGTTTAAAAATCCATAGTAAAATCCAAAAAGGAAATATGTGAAAATATTAATAGTGATGTCTCTGGTGGTAGGATTACGGGTAAGTACTTCTTTATTTACACTTTCCTCTAGTTGATTACATGTGCATATGTTGCTTTTATATAAGAAAAATATTAAGCTTAAAACTAAATTATAAATATATGTATAATTATACATATACATACAGAGAGTGACAGAGAGAATGCAAATGGTGCAAATCTGAACAATGGGTGAGTCTAGGAGGATATGTAAGTGCTGGCTGTATTATTCATGCAGCTTTTCTGTAGGTTTGAAAATTTTCAAAGTAAAAATTGCTGGGGGGGGATGCGTTCCAGGCCACCCCTGAGCTCTCCTCTGGAGTGCTCGAAGTAGAACCAATGTGATTTGACAGTTTGATTTGTTCTCTGTTGTGGGCAAAGTGTCCTTCAGTGTTGGGGGAGGGGGCTACGGGATCTGGTAGTCTTGGCGAGGAGGAAGCAAGTGTCGAGATCCTGGGAGATCAAGGAGCTTTGCTCTCCTGACCCGTGTGGGAGGCCCCGAGCGTCCCCCATGCTAATTCAGCACTGTTCTCTTCTCGGCCAGAGTTCGCTCTGTGGGCCCCTCCCGGCAGCTCTTGGGTGACTCTGCTAAGGCCGGGCCTTCCCCACCCCATGTCCCAGATTCCATCCCTCCACCTCTCCCACTGCTCAGGAAGCTGGCTCAGCCTTTATTTTTCCCCTTCTTCTGTTTCTGTCCTCTCCTTCTCTTCTGACTTCTTCCTTTAGGAGGTTTAAGTGATTTCTCTCTTTTAAAACGAAACAAATGTCCCCTTCGGCCGACCACTCCAGCTCTCTCCTCCTCTTCCCAGCCAGACTTTTTTTAAAGCATCATCAGCACTTTTGCAACCTCTGTTTTCTCTCAACATGCCCACCCTCCTCAGCTGAATCCAGGCTGGACTCAGCCCCCGTCTTTCTACTGTAACCACTTGTATTAGTCAGCAAGGCCAGGTTTATGCTGCAGGAACAAACCAGTCCCAAATTCCAGTGGCTTCACCCATCTGACACCACTGCTTCCCTCACCTTCCAGCCCCAGGGGTCATCTTTGAGTTCCTTGAAAACTCTCTGCAGTTTCCTGGCATGGGGCCTTTGCATATGCTATCCCTCTGCATGGGATGTTCTTCCCTACCACCTCCCTTTCACCTTGCTAACTCATACTCATCCTTCAGGTCTCAGCATAAACATCACTTCCTCAGGGAAGTTTTCTCCAACCCTCAGACTACACAGTTGCCCATCTCACTTTTTTTGAAAGAATAAATAAATCTCTGAAAACTTAATCTTCCCAACCTCCCCTAAAAGAGGATGGTAAAGATCTTTTCCCAGGTGACAATATGTCAATTTTATATTTCATTACATTTCACATTTAATTCCAGCCAAGCTTTATTATGCGCCTTTCCGGGCGCAGGCCCCATGCCTGGGAAGGGTGATTATACCCTTCGTACAGATAAGGAAAAGTTACTTTAGGTGAGGGGGGCACAAATAGGCAGTAAAGGAGTTCAGGGTTTACCCGGGGTGTGTTGTCTTTCAATTGCAAGTAACAGAAGTCCAAAGAAACTGGCATAAACGCAACAGGTAATTTATTGGTTTCCAGATTTTAAAAAGTCAGGGATGGATGTAAGTTCAGGTACAGCTGGATCCAGTCACTCAAATGATTGTCACCAAGAACCTGGACTGCACCCTCTCTTGGCTCCACTTTCTCCGTGTAGTCTTTCCCCAGGCGATGGTGAAAATGGGCATCGGGCCTTCTAGGCTGGTGTCCTATTTAGCAGGAAGATACGGGAAGAGCTCCATAAATGTTAGCTCCACAGCAAAACAGAAACAAAACCTTCATCACTTTTTAAATCACAGCTTAGACCTTCCTTCTTCCCTGTCACTCTCTCCCACTGCAATCCAGTCCCCTAATTCCTCGGTCTAGAGCATTCTGGGGATTTATTCCTCATCACCCGCGGTTTGCACGTGTTTATTTACAATGCCAGGATTACCTGGCCGTTGTTTGCTGCTAACAGATCTGTGAAGCACAGGCTCCCAGAGGAACGGGTAATGAGTGTCCAGCCCCTGCTGGCAAGCTGTCTGCCCTCTGGCAAGCCAAGGTCCTTCCCGGATAAAGTTCTGTATCCTCTGCATTCTTAGAGAAGTTTCTGTGCCTGAGGCAGCCCTGAGGAGGTGCATACGCCTCATGAGGCTTTGGCTCTGTCGGCATATTTTATGTCACTGTTGAAAACTAAAGGAGAAGGAACTAAGATGTACCAGGTACTCAGAGCACATACACGGTTTTGCTTCATCTCAGGACAACCTTTCGAGGTGGGTTTATAGCCCCACATTACAAATTAGGAAACTGAGGCTCAGAATGGTTAAGTCACTTCCCCAAGATCACACAGGCAGTAAATTGCAAAACCAGAATTTGAACCCAGATCTTTCAGCTCTAAAGCCTGTGTTCTTTCCACCACCTCCTGATTAATTTTTTAATTTCCAAGATTAGACTCTTCCTGTATCCATGACACCTGCCTCACATCCCTAGAAAAAGGTGAATGCTGTTCAGAAATTTTTGTAGCATGGGCTCACTCCAAATTTGCTTAATTTTGCTTTGTCACGCCTGCCCAGTTCCCGGAAGAGCAGGAAGTAGGTCAACGGCTGCAGGGACCACACACTCTGGCTGCTGGGAGAGCCAGCCTCTGGTTTCAGGCCTGGGCAGGGGCCAGACGCTGCCCGCAGCACCACCCACTGCGGGCCCTGCTTGGATTTCCCATCCCTGGCCCTGAGAAGTCATCATAAACCTTCACATTGTTGAGCTTTACGTTCTAGAATTCACTGTCACTGTGGCTGCCATGTGAGGCCATGTTTGGAGAAAGGAGCATCGGGCATTAACAGCGAAATCGATGGTCTGGGGAAAGAGGAATCCTCATCCTCTCGCACATCTGTGGGTGACTGATACCAGCGGACTGTGGCGAGGGTTTGCTCAGTCATCACCTGCCACTTCACAGAACAGTGGGACCAGCCCCTTGACGCCCAGTCATTTAAACTGTCCCCCTCTTTTACATGACGAAAGTGTCTTCAGAAACAGTCATGAAATGTGAAATGATCATAATAATGGTCAGAAAAGAAACACGGGGTAAAATGTTTGTCTTATGGAACTCTATACATATAACTACACAGCTTTTTAAAAAATAAAAGTAAATCTTATAGTACAAAAAAGTAAAAACACAACTATTTATTAAATCGCTTTTATATCTACTGAGTTTTAGTGCTATGGTTGCAGCCTGATATAATGATATTTTATGTAAATTGTTCAGTTACTAATAAGTGAACTTTGATAAAAGTAAGACATCTGCCAAAGTTACCTATAATTTAGCAACTGCTAAATCACGCCACTGATCTACCGCTGTATGTTCTTGCTTAATTCTGTAGTTTTAAACACTATAACTCACAATTTAAAAAGAAATTTTCGTTAAAAAAAAATTCAAACTCAGTAAAAGATAGCATATATGAGTAAAAGTTGTGCTTCCCCAGCAAAAATATTACACTTTGCAGTTCACACTCGGTGTCTTAAATTTTAAACACAAATAAAAACTCCAAGTGGCTACGTGGAATTGAATTATGGAATAATGGAATTGAAGTAACTCAGCTTCCTTATAATCCCTGCGCGGCCGCTGCTCAAGCTTAGGATCTTGTGCTTCAAT